TGTGTATATATATATATATATATATATATATATATATTATTATATATATATATATATATATATATACACACACACACAAATACATACATACATTCATATACAGGGTAATTCAAAACAACCATTTGTCCTTAAAATATCATATTCCTGAGACAAATCTAAGATGATTTTTCCTCTACTAAATTTTGATCAGAAGCTTAGTTTTTGAATTTTAAGGGAAAACAATTCGCGAATTACGGAAGATAGGCAGGGGCGGTGCAACTCACCGTCCGATGCGGGTGATTGCATGTGCGTGTACATTCGTGCATCCGCGCGCGTGTATGTATGATAAGTGCGATATATACGATAAACGCGTATGTACAAATGTACGCGTATGTATAAATGCAAGACATGCATGTGTTGTATATATCATACTCGCGTGTAGCAATTAGCTGATTGCATCGAGTGCTCACGTAATCGCCCGCGTCGGATAGTGAGTTGCACCGCTTCTGCTTATCTTCTGTATGCGGTCCATAATCCGCGAATTGTTTTCTGTTATAATTCAAAAACTAAGTTTCTGATAAAAATTTGGTAGAGGAAAAATCATTTTAGAATCGACTCGGAAATACATTTTAAGGACAAACGGTTGTTTTAAATCATTCTGTACATGTATATGTATATACATATATGTATACAAGGTGTCCCTTATATATACATTTTGTAATATGCATTTTAACTTTTACACCGAAATATCTCGAAAAATACAAAAAAAAACAAAAATATGTTTTAAACAAAAGTTATAGGATTATAATCGAAGGGACACAAGATGATATCATTGGTTTAACCTTGAATGATGCCGTCAAGATCAGGTCAAAGGCATTTTGAATTTTTTAAGCGAAACTCCCTCTTATATTATTATAGCCTTTCTTGAGACTTTTCCAAAACATAATTATTGTCCAATTTCACTTTGGATCAGCCGTGATGTTATAGAAGTTATAGTTTATATGATATCTATCTATAGTTGATGAATAATAAAGACAAGCTCGAGGGATAATTCAGTCAATAAAGACAATATTAAAAGATGATTCAACCAACTAAAGCAAAATCGAAAAATGAGCCGACCAACTAAGACAAGATCGGAGGATCAGGAAACTTTGTCTAATCGTCATTACGTATCATTCTCGGAATTAAATGTTCATAGTCTGCATCGTATTCTCCAAACACAAATTCAGTCTGTATATAAAGTACATAGGATTTCTCTGAGTATTTGGAATGTTATCGCTTGACGACTCTTCTGATTCTATCATGTCTACTCTCGTGATTGATGCTTCCCGATATACAGCATCTTTCACATATCCCCATAAATAGAAATCAAGAAAATTGAGATCCAGTGATCTCGGAAGCCACAAGATCGCATATTACTCATTTAAAAAAATTCGAACATCTTGAGAGTAATATGCTGGAGCATCATCCTGTTGAAATCAACACATTACTCTCAAGCCTCTCGGTGACATCCAGTGAAATATCCTGCAGGTGTATTATCAAATATTATCACTTATTATCAAATAATTTTGGAGAAAATCTAAATAAAATGAACCATTGATTGTATATTAAAAAAAATGCAGTCAATAATTTGATCATTACATAATCCCGTTTAACCAGGAGATTCCAACAATGCTGATTGAACACCTCTCGATACCAGTGAAGATTTACTCGTGAGCAATGATGATTATTGTGTCTATTGAATCTGTCATTACCGAAATGTAGCTTCGTCACTTGAAATAGACATTTCAAAAGAAATTTAGATTCCGCTTCATTCAGTACCCATCTACAAAATTGAACTCTCAAGGTGCGATTAGATATAAATATTCAGTTATTTCCTTCACTCCTATATTATAATACAGTTGAAAAGAATGCGGAAAAGTCTACATTTCAGTATCTCATCGCAAACATTTCCTACATTTTCATGGAGAGTGAAATCCAGGTACATTGAAATAAATAGATTTAAAATAAGATTTGAAATAAGTAGATTTGAAATATGTTGGTGTGTTGACTGCTAACCAACGCTGGATTTATAGGTCTTATGCGTACAAAATTTGTGTATATGTATTGTGATCGATAGATATTTATTTTTTTAAGAGATTGAAAAATTAGAAAAGTGATTTTCATGGTAAACATTGAATTACATTTTTGAAAGAATCTGACTCAATTCCCGTACCAGATTGATGTGGTAAGAATGGTATTGTACGAATTATAATATTCGATGAGTCAAATCGAGATATTTCTAATTCACGTTCTTTTTGCCGAATACTAATATCGACCATGCTCAAAACTGTGAGGAGTTTAAAGTCATTATTGTTTGGAGGTTTGTTTATTTGTCTCTGGCGATACTATATTTCTGCGAGATCTTCTTTCAATATTTATCATTTGTTGAGCCTTTGGATGGCGACGATTAGGATGTAGCTCAGTATAATGACGAAAAACATGTCTGTAATTCTTATTCCCTTCGCCAAGAGTCAAAGAATCTCTTTGGAATATCCAATTAAACATATCTAATAAGATAAAATTTGTATTGTAATAATAGTTAACGTCGAATTCAATTATAATAGAAAAAGACTTAATATTGAAAATGATCCACATTAAAGAACAGAAGAATGGAATTAACGTCATCAATGATACAAAATTATTATTATTATATTAATAATTGGTTGAATATATTACCATAAACTTCGATAACTTCAAAACAGCTGATCCAAAGTAAATTGAATTATAGTATTTTAAAAAGGTCTCAAGAAGAGTTATAATAATATATAATAAAATCTAGGGAGTTCCATTGAAAAAATTCAAAGTGATCTTGACTGATCAAACCAATGCTATCATCTTATGTCCCCCTTCGAACTCTACAACTTTTGTTTGAAACATTTTTCCATATCTTTTGTACTTTTCGAAATATTTCAGTATAAAATTAAAATGGGACGTGTGTGTGTGTGTGTGTGTGTGTGTGTTATCTTACTCAAAAATGTAAAAATAGCACAACAAATAACATATAATAGATATATCACATTGAGTTACATCCTTCTAAAACGCATAATGCACTTCTTGTGAAAAATTGATGTTTCTTCGCGCCTATCATATATCCATGTTATCACATACATTTCGAAAACGTACATCAAATCAATATATAGTACAAGATACAAGTCTATATTTTATTATAAAATAAATAATTGTACTCACGCTAAGAAAAGTACAACCAGTAAAAATGATAACTATCGTACTGACACCTAACGCCGCTAACATGACGTATCGAATAGAAAGAACAACCATTTTTCCATACCTAAAATGATACATTTCTTTCTATAAAAGTTTTGCTATTAAAGTTTAATATAAAAACTTATATAAAATTTATGTAAAAATACTCAAATGTCATTTAAATTCTTTCTAACCATAAATATTATTTATTGAAAAAATAAAAAATTGATTCATATCAAATTCAGTTAAATCAACATTAAATCGCACACAGAAATAATTAATTACTAATACCTCTGAAAATAACAACAGATACAAGGATGGAATTTTCTTATTTTAATTTAAACTTTAGCATTTTATTTACGTAATATAAAATACTATAAACGATTTATAATAGAATAGATTTTTAGATTATTTATTTTTAATAAAATCTTCAATGGAATTTAACACTATCTATGTGTGATATTATGTGATTATATGCCACACGTAATTACAGATAAAGATACCGATAATAAAGTAAATATCTTTAGAAAATTTAAATAAATAAGATATAACTCTGATTTTTCTTTACCACAATAATTCTTGGTGTTCTTTTAGGCACTCACGTAACTCGGAAAATTTCGTGACGGCTCGAAATTTATTTGATAAGATATCACATCTCGCTGACACAAACCATAACAGAAGTGCGATAAAAATCATTGAGCACACCTGTACATAACTTTGATATATAATAAATATATGATGTAGATAAATGATAATTTTCACAGGTGTAAAATGTATGGAAAACGGATATTCAATGTCCATGGGAAAAGGATGAGGTCCTATTATAGGACTAATGATGAGCAATATGCCGGTAATGGTGAAGCCACACACTGCGCCTATATAAACCGGTTTACAGCTGTTAATGTATTGATGAAAAATAATATGTTCTTCTGGTTTCGCTTGTTTGCAATAATCTTCCAAGGCGTAAATCACGTACTATAATTAAATCACAATTGATTGTACAGAAAAAGTGATATGAACAAAAATATAATAGATTTTAGATATTATTTTATATAATATAATAATATATGATATGATATCATGATTGAAATTTTTTTTTTACAACTATAACATTAAGTCTTGTTTTATAAAAATAAATAAATTAATACATTATATCTAAATGTAATATCTAAACGTTAAATAATAAAATGTTTTACTATGTTGTCGAATGTTACACATTCATTTTAATTTAAAACTGAAGAATATTTAATAATTTACTAAATAATGCACTTGAAGGGATTTATCATTAGTATCACATGAAAAATATCAAATCTTTTAATCACATTATTATCTTTCTTATTATTATTCTTATTATTCTATTTATCGTTGTTGTTATTTTTACTATCACTCAAATATACAGATAATTAAAATAATATCGTTTAGTTTCTTACTTGAAGACGATCATATTGAAGAGAGTAGCACATGATTTGCAAAGGAACTTCAGTAGTGGTACATAAATTACAGCATAATTTCATTATCAAAAATAAATCCGAGCGATTGCTATAAATTGTATATATTATTTCAACCATCATAAGTATCCCGTGTAGAATAGAAAGACAGCGAAATATTTTGTTGCGTATTTTTTCGCATTTTGTGGCAGTTGGTGGTAATGGCCAGCAACAAGCGAATAACAAATCCACTTTTAAAAACGCGATAAATTTTTCCATCTTCAGTGTATCCGTCATAATTGAACGGTATTGAACTGTACCGTTTTGTTACAGTTACACATCTGATTTAAACTAACTTTCTTAGAAGGGAAGAGCTTGTACCTTGCATTAGAGGCACGTGTGTGTTTAATTTATCACGTATATTAACTGCGGGCTTAATTCTTCGATGATACGATACAAGCACCCCCTCCTGCATATTTCCTACTCCACTTTGTGCTAGAGGTGCCGTACATAGGTTTACAAATTATTCAACTAGCAAATAATCATCTAATGCCGCTATAATTGAACTGTAGTAGTTCAACAATTATTTTCTTACCTTCCTATCCTGTGTAATCTTAATTACGCAGATAATTGGTTTGGGGGGAGCAATAAATAAATTACGAAAATAGCACCGATGCAATATTATAGGGAATATCAGATGCAATATTATAAGGAAGATTGCTATCAATTCTTGCGATATCAATTCCTTTCTTATTTAATATATGTTTGAAATTTTTATATTAATGATTATTTAACTCTTATAAGATTAAATAATTTAGAGAAGTTGGAGCTTTCTTACTTGCCTCTACTCTATGAGTTGAGTATTAATTTAATAATTCATGTAATCATATTTATTAAAAGATTCATTATTAATTTATTTAGATTCTTGTTTATTTAGATATTTGTTTTATGTAAGTATAATATACAATCAAGTTTTAACTTATTTTGTTATTTATATAAGTTTGTATTACTGCTATATTTAATTTTAGCTGAAACAATATTATTATTACTCGCATATAAATTATTATGTATAAATTATTATATATTATTACGTATAAATTATTATGTTTTAACATAATGTAAATATTAACAAATTTGTTAATAATAATTGCTAATTAAATAATAAAATAATAATAATAAAATTAAAAAAGACATGATATATTACTTAATATCTATTACTACGTTACGTTTATCAGTTATAAAAAAGAGCTCTAAAAATAGCAACAACAAAATTATAATATTTTATTTTATACGTAAACTTTATTAACATAAAACATACGTATCCTTTTGCTCTGTCTGTTATACATTGAAAGACATTCAATAACAAACTAATCTTTTTTTTCTTTTTTTCTATTATTTCAGCTTGCATCATCTTCGGAAAGAATTACTCGAAATGTCGTTAAATACGAAAATGCCGTTGAAATATACTGTAAAATTATTCAAAATATCTTATAAATATAAATGAAACATTAAATAAAATTATTCTATATCTATCTATATGTATATATATATATATATATATATATATATATATATATATATATATACTACTACTACTACTACTATATATATATATATATATATATATATATATATATATATATATATATACTATAAGTATAGGATGTCCCAAAAAGATTGGAATCTCTGAATTTCGAAAAATATAAGTTTTACAGAAAATGTTTCGAATAAAAGTTAGTTTAAATAGATCTATTTACTGATTTGACCTTGGATGAACATGCCAAGATTATAGATAGAAATCAACTTTGTTATTTTAAATGGAAACCCTCATTTATATTATATATCTTATAGCTGACCTCGAATTCTCTTCAAAATACTATAATAAAGTATTTTTTTAGTAAGTACTTTCGGAGTTATGAGGCTTAAATTTGATATGCAATTTGACATAAAATATTGTAACGAAACGTCCCTCCGCTTCTATAGTATCTTCTTTCTCCCGACCGACCATCCGTCGGCGACCGCCGAACACCAGGCGAAAGGCGGCAATGGCCGCCGAAAGGCGTTTACGCCTATTTTTTAATTCTTTATAACATGCGAGAAATAGCGTGGGAATATATCGCGAATTCACGCATGTTTTCGCAGTATTCCCTTCGCACCGCACCGAGTGTCGCATCATCGAGCGTTAACGCGCCCCGTGCCGCACCACGTGCCGTATCGCAAAGCCGCTTGGAGTGTGCTCCCCGCACCGCGCCAACTACCGCGCCACGAAACTAGCGTACTTCTCGTACCGCGCCACCAACCGGAAGGTTTTCCCGCTCCGAATCGTTTTATCTTCCCCCGATTTTTCTGACTACCCCGTGGAAAGGGAGCTGTCCCCCGAGATCCGAAGCCAATCCGAATCTGAGCCGTACCGCGGCCGATCTCGGAATAAAAGGGTCTCGCTTTCCGCAGAAGGTACCTGTTCCAATCTTGGAATCTTGAGCATCGCTAAGGAAACTGAGAAGGACACCGCTCCGAAATCCCAGGAGAATCTCAAAGTGCTGAGGTACACCTCGGTCAGTCAAGCCCGCTTGACCGAGACAATCCTTCCATCAAGCTTCCGAATAAGTCTCCGAAAGCACTGGGGTACTCCCCAGCATGACTGAGAACGCTTGACCATACGAGACCATACTTCTACTCCTACCGTCCACCGAATCACCGCTGAGGAACACTTCAGTGTGACCGAGAATACTCGGCTTCCCGGTCAAGGCTCTCCCTTGACAAAAGTACCGAACGCTAGGGACTCCCTGGTGTTGTCGAGTACACTCGACAAATCTCAAAGAGACTCCCGCGTCTCGTCGGGTTGCCCGATAACTTCCTCCGTCGTCTACGGGATATAACGTGAGTCGGGAACACTCGAAATCCTGTCAGATTGACAACATTCCTGCGACACACACCGTGACAGTTCGAGAGCACGTGTACGCCGCCCGCCGTGCGTCACACATCCCGCGGACCAGCCAGAAACCCGCCGAAACCCGCGTAAACACCGCGCTCGTACACCGCGCGCCCTGCATCACTGAATAGCGCCCGCATTTAAAGAGCCGATTCACATAGCGAGATTCGCGTGTATCGCACCGAACGCTCATATTGTTAAATCTCCACACCAAACATCGCGACCAATCATTATTAATTAATTCAACTATCAATTTTATATGCAGAACGCGGATCACTATTGTAAACTATTAGAGTTATAATAAATTAGTTATAAACGTCAACCACAGATATCTCTCCGCCGCTACTTCCTCACTTGGTTACTCGACTAAGACGATATTCGCGCGGAAGTGAGACCGTTTTAATATTTGGTAAATTATTCATTTTTTGGCAACTATATCTTAATATTTTTATACACAGACTAATAAGATAAATCAATTGGTGTAAAAAAAACCTTAGTAGCACAATGTATTGGCACAATGTATTGGAAAGTAATGTAAATCCAATATTATGTATTAGATGTGAATTGATCTGAACTGATCAACATTGATCCAACATTGCAAGGTGGACGCCTGCTTTAGCCAACATGTCAAAGCAACAATATTGGTCCAATATTGGACCAATATTAAACCATAATATTTACCCAATTTTTCATGTTAGACATAAATTGTATCTTAATGTGGAACAATTATTACATAATACATGTCTTCTATTTATATAAGTGAAAAAATAAAAAAAAGATGAGAAAAAGTGATGAAACTTCTTTTATCTTGTATCACCGTATATTTCTAAAACAGCCACCCATCCTACTTGGGACTTGGATCCTGCTCGATGTTGCTTAACTTCTATATACTTCTCTCTTCTTGGAATGAAACCTGCTATTGAAATGATGATACAAGTAAATACAGAATTTTGGTATAAAAAATGATAGATCTGATTAATGAATGTTACTGTATTGTCGTGTAAATAATCTCAATTTTTAAAATATATATATATATATATATATTTATAAATATACATATATGGTAAATACATATTTATTGGTAATGTTTTATATATGCAAAATATAAATATTACAAAGATTTCTTTTTTTTAAGTAAAAATATTGCATTTTATGTTAAAAAAAAGAAAATCTTAAGTTAAGTATATAATAATTATTTACACTACGTTTATCTTGTAGACACTTTCAATGTAAACGCAATACATATATTGGCAGCATATTACTTATATTTCTTCTGTAATCAATATTCACGTAAGACTGGGGAACTTTGACCAATACATTTTTCCAATGTAAACACAATATTGTGTAATTATTGGCATGTAATATTGGCAGCACATTACTATTTCTTCTGTAATCAATATTTATGTAAGGTTGGACGATCTTGGCCAATGCATTTCCAATGCATTTCCAATATAAACGTAATATTGTGTAATTATTGGGTATTGTAACATTAGTGATACATTTGCATTTATTTTTCCATAATCAGTATTAACTTTCCATTGGGAAATAACGGCCAATGTACTCCCAACATAATCAATGTATCGCCAACATTGAGCCAATGCATTGTGCTACTAGAGAATACGTGGTTGATTTAAAAAAAGATTTTATCAATGCAATATGCAATGACGCATCTTTTTTGAAAAACAATGTATTTTCCTTAGATCAATTGATTCATCTCATTATTCTGTGTACAAAAGTATTAAGACATAATTGCCAAAACATGAATAGTTTACGAAATATTTTATATTTTATATCAAATTGCATATCAAATTCAAGCCTCATACAGTCAACTCAGACAGTATTTACTAAAAAAATACTTTATTATAGTGTGAAAAGTTCTCGAGATCAGCTACAAGATATGTAATAAAAAATGGGGGTTACCAAATGTGGGTTTAAAAAACAAAGTTGACTTCTATGTGACTTTGGCATGTCCATCCAAAATCAAAATGATAAGATCGAAATAGATCTTTTTAAATCCTACAACTTTTATTCAGAATATTTTTCTATAAAACTTATATTTT